TCTTCTTCCCCTAAGGTCTCTCTCTCTCTCTCTCTCTCTCTCTCTCTCTCCATATATATACAAATATATGTATGTGCTTATATGTGTATACTTTTAATTATAAATGTGCACTGATTATATATATCAACTTCTTGTGCAGTGTTTCTGCGTCTCAAGGCTGGTGTCCGTTGTGAGTTTAATATATCTGGGGACAACAAGAAACGGTTACCTGTACCTAGCTGAGACGCTGTTTTTCACACTTAACGGGAAGAAGATCAACATTTCAAGTATTGAAGAGACATATATATCATAGACTTATAAATATAAAATTTAATGGCGCCAGTTTCGTTGCCTCCAGGCTTCCGTTTTCATCCAACCGACGAAGAGCTTGTTGCATACTATCTCAAGAGGAAAATAAATGGGCGTAAAATCGAGCTTGAAGTTATTCCTGAAGTCGACCTCTACAAGTGCGAACCCTGGGATTTACCAGGTATATATATATGCATGTCTTCATGGTGATCGAAACACCAATTGCAATTCAATTTTTATTTACTATAATCGAAAAAAGTATCTCAATCTAATGGAATTTTAGGTTGCTTTCTGGTTTCTGCAAGTATCACAAAATATTCTAAAACTAAAATCTAGTAATAGTTATTGTTAATATTTGAAAATTATTTTTTACGTATATATTTATCATATATGTTTTTACATTGCTGATTTATTTTATTTTTTTGTGTTCATATAATTCACTTATAGCAATTTTAAACACATTTATTGTACTATATATATAACATCTAAAGAAAAAAGCATACAATATAAAAGCAATCTGGGCATGAGCCTGAACAGTTTATGTGTAAGGTATGTGACTAAATCAAGATTCTTGCCAAAGGGTCTTTCATACATATTCTTTCGATTTCATCTCTTTGTTTTGTTGCTAAAGGCAAAAATTGAAGGTTCTTTGATGTTCTTTACGCGTGCTTCTACTTTGTTCTTGGTTCAGACCATAATTACCCGTGAAAAAGGTTTAAAAGAAATCAGTTGATTTGGATTTTCTTTCAAAATCATATGTTATATTATCTGCTTAATTGACGTGTAAAAACTGTATCATATATAGGTACATAGAAGACCAGTCAAATATGATTGGAACTTTTAAATTACAAAACTCAGCATGAACAAGATAACCATAAATCCATAATGATTGTTTCTTAATGACCAAAAGTTATTATTTAAAGGGAATTAAGGTGGCCCCTACATCTTTTAAACTGGTATAAGAACAAAATTTTAGTAATTAGCTGACAAGATTGAAGTCAAAAAGCAAATTAAAGATGAAAGAACATAAATACACTTACCTGTTCTTTCAAAGATAGATATCATTAGCAGCTTTTCCTTTATTAATTTTCTGACATCAAATCTAACTCCTGAAATATTTTCATTTATAGAAATAATCTTGTTCTTCCTATGTTCCCATTTCTCCATACAAAATTTATTTTGATTTTGTTAGGTTGGGTTTTTGAGAAAAATATATATCAAGATCAAAACATTAAGAAGTAATTAAATATTAGTCTCTTAGTTGTTTTGCATGTTTTTTTTTTTCGGATCTTGCGATGATGTATATGATCTGGTTATGGTTTTACATCTCTTATATATACTAATTCATTGATACCTATTCTCTTTTATTCGACACAGGGAAATCATTATTGCCAAGCAAAGACCTAGAGTGGTACTTCTTCAGTCCAAGAGATCGTAAATACCCAAATGGATCAAGAACAAACCGAGCCACCAAAGGTGGGTATTGGAAGGCAACGGGGAAGGACAGGAATGTAAATTCACAATCAAGAGCCGTTGGGATGAAGAAAACCCTAGTTTACTACAGAGGAAGAGCACCACATGGAGCTCGTAGTGATTGGGTTATGCATGAATATCGCCTTGACGAGAGAGAATGTGAAAATGAATCTGGTCTTAAGGTGAAAATTCTTCAAAGTAACTAATCACATGCATGGTTTTATATCAACACCTACTTCGAATTTGATCATATATATATAAATATATAACACTACACCGAATGCGTTTTTTTTTGGGTTTAAAAGTTGCAGGATGCTTATTCACTTTGCCGTGTGTTTAAGAAGAGTCTGAATGCTCCAAAGACGACCATTGGAGTACATTATGCTGCAGCAGTCAGTGATCACTCATCAAGTATGGACCTTTATTCAGAGGGAGGAAGGGGTGGTGAAGATATGGAGACTTGTAATTATCCAACACCAATGGCTTCATCTTCCTCTAATATCAACCATGGATCACCACATAATGTAAGTGACTCGAGTGATGGGAGATGGATGCAGTACTTATCTGAAGAAGCGTTCGCTTTCCCGAATCCATCTTTCACCAACTATGGGAATGTTTCTTTTCCCCCAACCAAGGTATAGAAAACACATTTTCATCTTCATGTCTTCTCTCATTATTTTTTAGGATTCCATCTCAAGTTTTTTTTTCTTTTTTTTTTTTAATAAAAAATTACCAGTTGTTAACTAAATGGAGTCACAGATGATTGTAATGATTGTAGATTCTAGAGTCAATGAATAGGGTGCTCAGGCAATCTCAAACTCTGCAAAGTTAACGATTGCCCAATCATTATTATGCTTTTCATACAACTTTAATTTTTTTGATATCTTACAAACCATTAAACTTTTACAAATTCAAAGGATTCCCATATCATCATCAAATTTAAGATTATTTATATTTTATATATTATATAGGTCATTTTATGAATATTGAAATATTACATAAATTGAAAATATTATAATCAGAAAAAAAAATTACAAATTAAATAAATATAATATTACACTAATTCTAAATATACAATAGATAAAAATACAATAATCTAAATACTATGATGCCTAAATATATAATAAATAGAATAGTATTTATAATAATAATAATTTAGAAAAAATTGAAATGTTATTAATATTCCTGGTATATATTATTTATTTATAAGTATTCTAGTAATTGAAGTATTTATAAAAGAATTGGCCGGATATTTAGATTTATTTGATTGATAAAGAATAGAGGACTAATAATTTATCGCATTAACCTCCCATTTAACTCTATTCATATCATCCACTCACTATTCATTAAACCACTATTAAATCCCTATATCATTTTCATTAAACGTCGTCGATGCGTTTAATTAGTTTGAAAGAGTATTAGGAGAAGTTCAATATCTGTTGACATATACGCTATCTTTTTATTACTATTTTTTCAGAACAGAAAGATTTTCATTCAAAAAGCTACCCAGTGGTTAGAACTACAAAGATACATATTGGCTAATTAAAATATAAATTTTGTGTACACATGCAAGCATATGCTATGTTATAGACTTTATTGTATAACCTTTTTCCAATGTTTTTGCAGGTTGATATAGCATTAGAATGTGCAAGGCTGCAACAAAGGTTATCAATGCCTCCATTACAGGTACAAGATCTCCCACATCAAGGGGCTACAAGCTACGTGGATTTAATGAATATGCAACAGACAAGCAGCAGCATGCGCGATGTCACAACTACAAATGGTCCTCAGCAGGACATATTGCATGAAATCCTTTCGCTCGCTCAAGTTTCCCAGGATCACATCAATCAGAACACTTGGGGTGGAGGTTATTCCAGTCATCAGGAAGATGATTTTTCGTTTTTGGATGATAATGATAACAACAATCAAGTGCAAGATGTGGGCTCGTTTAGGTTCATGGGGGATGATCAGAATGTTGATGGTGTCGATGAACAACAGCTCAAAAGTGATAGAATGGTTGAGAATTTGAGATGGGTTGGCATGTCTAACAAGGATCTTGAGATGGTAATTATCATTCCTTTTACTAGTTACTTATTTTATTTTTAGGAAATAAGCAAGGAAAAAGCCAGTGGTCACATGCATTTTTTTTTTGTGTGTGTGTCTAACCCTAATGTTCATATATAGTAGGTCCCAGAGTGGTTTAGGGCTTGTAGATGTATTACATAATTCCAGAAACCATGAAGTTACACTAACTTTCTTGACATTTACAGACTTATTGGGAAGATTACAAGAATGTTCCAGTGGAAAATATGCCAAGTTTTCAAAAGGAGGAGCATGAGGTTCAAGGTACAAAAACCACTAAGCATCGGTTACCATATTTTCCAAGAATCTATGCCATACATGTATATCTTTGTTGTCATAGCTAGACCCTATTTCACTAAGAGCTTGGAAAACAATTTCAGGAGAAAGCAGCCATCAAAACAATTTCGACAATACAGAAGATCACTTCTCACTTGGAATCACCACCGAGGACCATGACAACTCGAATGAAAACCTGTTAGACGAAACCGATTTAGAGGACTTCACTACAACTCCAAGCTTTGAAATCTACGAGAAAACCAAAGTCAGTACTCATGGGTTGATTGTTTCAACCCGACAGTTTTCAGAAACCTTCTTCCACCAAATCGTACCTTCCCAAATAGTCAAAGTCCATCTGAACCCAGGAACGATACATGATCAGACGGTATCTAAATCCGATGGCCAGACAACGCTTAGCAAGAAAGTTTTATATGACAAGTTCAAGATGATCACAAGTTCCAAACCATTTGAGGTGATTAACAAGAAACCAAAGACCCCTTTGGTCACCTTGGTTTCCCTTCTGTTGATATGTTGCTTTTATCTTGAAGAGTCAACAGAAGATGGTGGTGATATGAAGTTAAAAGAGGATGATGATGGTTCAGCTGGTAATAGCATACGAATGAATGATGGAGAGGAGGAAAAGAATGAAGGATGGGGCATTTCAAGTTTGGTTTTGGAGAAGGTGATATGGCCATGTGTGACCTTGGCTTTGGCATTTTCTACCATCTGGGTACATCATAATTACTAATTACAAGGGTTTTTTTTAATCTTTTTTTAATTAATTGTTTCTAACCATACAGAGTGAAGTTGTTTACTTATAGGAAAAGATGAAACTAAGCTTTCCCTGGATTTAATCTGGGGCTGAATTATATTATATATAATATTTGTACTTTCTTGAATTTACATTCAAAATATATATTGGAGTAATTATACGTCTTCATGATTCCATCAACTAAAGACTGGGAAATCACATTAATTCAAAATAACAAAAGGGAATTGATATGCAATGTGAAAAGATTGATACATCTATTTTTTTTCAGAAAATGTTCATAAAATATGGGCAAACAAAATCGATATGGTTTATAGAAATTAGGAATTATGTTCACAAAAAAAAAGGTTATTTCCATAAAATACTCTATATTTTGATTTTTTTTTTCTTTTTACACCTAAACTTTTTTTATTTTCCGAAAAAAACCCAATTTTTACATGTTACTTGTTATTTCAGACCCTAACAGGTCACCAACGGGTAAATTAGGTATTTTTGTTTAATAAAAGACCCAATATTTTGTAGTTTTTTCCATTTTAGACTTAAAATATATATATTTTTTTAAAATATACTTAACTTTAAAATTGGTTATAATCTTCAAGACCAAATATATAAGATCCTGTTTCACTACACCGAAAAAGAAAATATACATTTATAAACTAAAAAATGATATCTAATCTATTATCATTCTAGCGAATAACCTAGAAGAATTACAAAATTTTATTTTTGTCTAAAAGATATAATTAAAATTTATCTTGGATATATATTATATCATTAAACTTGATATATTGTTTATAAAAATGTTATTATTACCGCTAAAAAAAGTTTTATGTTAATTTGATATTTTTTTGGTAACATGGATAATACATGGGTAGGAAGAATCTTTTAGCATAATAACCACTTTTTTATTTGTAGAAAAAAATACCATGTAATTTAATAAACTGTATACATTTTTTTTAGTTTGTCTATTATACTTATTTGGTGAGTTTGGACATATTTCCCTCTCTCACTTTTTTATATTATTTTTTTGGCCGAAATTTTTAATCAATTTTTTTAGAACAGTTAACAAACGAATTTACTATTGTATTCTCAAACCAAAGTCATAGAATATTTTGTAGCATTAGCCCATTATTGAATAATATGTAATAATTATATCAACATACATAAAAATATTAAACCTACACATTCGTAATAGTTTTTTTAGATATATAAGATTCAAGTTTAAGACTTTCTTAAAAAATGTTAACATCACATATAAATACATAAAACTATATTTTGGGAATAAAACCATTTCATCATAAGTTGAAAATCCAAATAACAAGAATGATACCGCAATTTTCCAAAATGTAGACAAAACATTTTGTTATTATTTATATTACACTCGTTAAAAAAAAATATTCTCAACAATTTCATTGTATGTGTAATGGCTCAAAAAAAAAATGTTTCATGCGTAAAGCAATATGATACCAAAAGATGCAAAAGTTAAATCGTTGTTTATTATTTAAACTAAAAGAATATAATTACGTTTTTTATGCCTTGACCGAATTAAACTATATGAACTTGGTGTAATGAAAAAATAGCTTTTACAACTACTCTTTTTCTTTTTAATAAATATACGTGGATAAAGAATTGTCCAATCATAAATAAATGTAGGCATAATAATTACATTGTTTAAATCGATGTCTATGTTTAAACTAAAAGGATATAATCACTTTTTTTATGCATGGACGAAGTTAAGCTTCACTAAATCGGTGTAGTTAAGAAGTACCTTATACAACTAGTTTTGAAGGTTGTAACCAATTTTAAAGTTGAGTTTATTTTGAAATAAAATTATTTTAGGTCTAAATTGGAAAAAAGTACAAAATGTAGGGTCTTTTATGAAATAAAAATACTTAATTTCCCTTTTGGTGACCTACTGAGGTCTAAAATAACAAATAACACGTAAAAATTGGATATTTTTCGAAAAAGAAAAAAGTTTTAAGTCTAAAAAGAAAAAAAATCAAAACATAAGGTCTTTTATTGAAATAACTTCCTTTTCAACTTTAAATAATTACCTCTAACGAGGTTATTTCCTCTAGGCATTATATTATCAATATTGGGACATGGGATGGCATTAGTGAACCTATGATCTTTGCAAATATTTATGGGCCACAACCGATTAATGAAAATGCATCATTATGGAAGGAGCTAATTGAAATTAAAAACACTAAAAATGGCATTTGGATTATGATGGGAGACTTCAATGCTGTGAGGCACAGGGGAGAAAGATTCAATTCCAATTTCTGCCAAAGAACTGCAAGAGATTTCAATAATTTCATACACAAGATTGGGCTTAGGGATTGAAAATGGGGGGTCACAGGTTCACCTGTTTTCGTAATTCATACCTCAAGCTAAGTAAGCTTGATCGGTTCCTGGTTTGTCCTACTTTCGTTAATCTATTTCCTCATATCTCCGTTACTGCTCTTCCAAGATAAAGTTCCGACCATTGCCCTATCCACCTATCTATTTCGCGTAAGGACTTTGGTCCATCTCCATTCAGGTTCTTCAATTCTTGGATGCTTAGGGAAGGATTCGAAAAGACTTTCATCTCTAACTGGAATAATTTTGTGGGCTATGGTACACTCGATCTGTACTTTCATCTTAAACATATTAAAAATGGATTGAAAAATGGAGAGCATCTGATTATCCAAAGGAAGAAAAGGAACTACAGAGACTCAAGAAATTGGTGGAATTCCTGGACCATGAAGCTGAGTCGCGACAGTTAACAGTCCAGGAGTTGGATGATAGAACCTTGGGGTACAAATCAATCATAGAGATTGAAAAATTCAAGTCTTTTGATCTAAGGCAAAAATCTCGGATCAAATGGGCAACTGATGGTGACGAAAACACAAGCTTTTTTCATGGTCACATCAATAAAAACAATCAAAAAAATAAAATTGATGGCCTAACGATAAACGGTGATTGGTGCACGGACCCAGAAATTATAAAGCAGGAGATATATTCGTTCTTTGCTGATAAATTCAAAGAAAAATGGCCAGTCAGGACAAAATTGGGGAGCAGGTATTTCAAAAAAATATCACACGATGACTCGCATCTAATAGAATCCCCCATCACCCTTAAGGAAATCAAGGAGGCGATTTGGTCTTGCGGGAATGAAAAATCTCCGGGGCCAGATGGTTTCACATTCAAATTCATCAAGAAATATTGGGAGGTTCTTTTGGGTGACATTGCAGCGGTTGTTAAATACTTTGAGCAATATGGAAAAATTGACTCTTCTTGCAACTCCTCATTTATATCGTTAGTCCCCAAAGTCAAAGATCCCCTCACAATTCGAGATTACAGGCCAATTAGTCTTATTGGGTGTATCTACAAAATCATATCCAAGATACTATCACTCAGAATAAAGAAAGTCATGGGGAACTGTACTGACGAGGTGCAGTCTGCCTACGTGGAGGGCAGGAACATACTTGACGGGCCACTTGTGGTGAACGAAATTTGCTCATGGGCAAAAAAGAAAAAAAAGAAGATACTCCTATTTAAGGTCGATTTCGACAAGGCATTCGACTCAATCAACTGGGGCTTCCTTGATACCAATCTTATGCATATGGGTTTCGGAGTTAAAATGAGGTCATGGATAAAAGGATGTCTCGAAAGCTCCAAATCCTCAGTGCTAGTCAACGGCAATCCAACCGATGAATTCCCTATATCCAAAGGCGTCAAACAAGGCGACCCGCTCTCCCCTTTTCTGTTCATCGCAGCTATAGAGGGACTAAGCGCAACAATGAGGGCTGCATGCGACACCGGAATATTTCAAGGTATTCAGCTGCCAAATGGTGGTCCATTAATTTCCCATCTATTATATGCGGACGATGCTTTATTTCTTGGTGAATGGTCGAAGCATAATATAAAAAACCTGGCCCGTATTCTACATTGTTTTCATGCTGCATCGGGACTCAAAGTTAACTTCAATAAATCGAGAGTTTTTGGAGTTGGCTCTGATACACAAGAAATTTCAAACTGGGCCAGAACTTTAGGATGTGAACCTTCCACTCTACCATTCACATACTTAGGGGTCCCAGTCGGCGCAAATATGAACTTGAAAAAAAATTGGGCTCCAGTTCTGGATAGATTCTAATCCAAATTGTCAAAATGGAAGTCAAAAACCTTATCTTTTGGAGGTAGATTGACACTCATAAAGTCGGTTTTAGGAAACCTTCCATCTTATTATCTTTCCTTATTCGTGGCACCTAAGGGCATTATTGACACATTGGAAAAAATGAGGAATCAGTTTCTGTGGGGAGGATCAGATGAAAAGAAAGTGATCCATTGGATATCGTGGGATAAGGTAACATCATCAAAGGAATCTGGTGGGTTAGGTGTTGGTACAATAAAAGCACTAAACGTCTCTCTAATAACAAAGTGGTGGTGGAGGTTGAGAACCAAGCAGGATCAGTTATGGGCTGCTGTGATAACGAGTGTGCACAATCTAAAGTCGAAACCTGATGACTGTTACTCTACAAAGTCGTTACCTGGGGTATGGAATAACATCGTTGGAATTGGAAATGATCTAAAGAAAAAGAATATCCAAGTTCAAGCTGTGTTAGACAAACGAATAGTAAATAATGGTGTTATATGGAGATGTGGGCTCACCCCGGATGGCTCTTTCACAGTAAATGCTCTTAGATCAAGATGGGACTACCGGACTCCATTAACCAACAGAAATTTCCACTGGATAAAAGAAATCCCACTGAAAGTCTCTTGCTTTATTTGGAGAGCACAATGGGGCAGAATCCCAACAGCTAAGGAGTT